AATTTAACCCATAAGATGACCCACGGGTGACCCATATGACCCATGTCAGCAAATATAAAATTACCAAAATACCCCTAACCTTAAAAATGATAGAAAACATAAAAATAATAATAAAACAAGACTCTAATAACACTAGAAACATAATTATAGAAGATTTTTATTAGTTTCTCTATGAAATCATGCCAATGTCCAAGTATCATCACTTCTCTGAATTTAGCTTTCCTTGAGCTTCTTATACTCTGCATCATTCTCCCTTGGTTGGAAAAAACTCAACCTCGAGTTTGAAGTGTTAGAGTATAAGAACTCACAATTTTTGAAATTGTATCCATGGCTTCACATTAAAATATTCAAGTTAACGCCGCCTTTTCTTCGTTGGAGATTGCAAAAAAAATAATAATGAGAGATTGATCTTTTCAATCATGTAACTAAATTTTTCTACAATAACAAAGTCAATTGACATAGAAATCAAATCTTTGAATTCATCCAAATCAGTTTTCATAAGGCTTTTTTCAATATTCCCAACGACTTCGATTCTATTCTTTTTAGCTTCTTTTCCTAGCACAAGGTCATCTTTTCATTCACTATTGGCCACTTCATTGATTATGATTGGAGCAAATTCACTAGGTGACTTTGTAGGCACTACATCGGAGACCTCGGGGAGACCTCGGGTTGCAATATCATGACCTTTAAAGGCATAATAAGATCTGGAACAACAGCAGGATGCATTAATTCTTCACTCCTTACAGCTTGTGTGACATCTGAGTCTTCTATTTTGACCTCATCCTCTTCTCGGGTAACAATTAGATCTTCTTGGGGTGCTTTTAAATCATCAACAAGAGCCCTTTCACCCTCATTAACCTTGTCAATAATCACTTTGGCTTGATTTCCATTCTCTTCCTCCACTTGTAACTCTAACGGCTTAGAGCTTTGATGTCCAACAACATTCATTCCCTTTAATGGTTCATCAGAGGACTTAGGTACCAAGTTGGCCACCTCCAGGTGCATATTAGATACAGGACTAGCAGTGGAACTTTTGAATGGTGTAGTTATCTTGGCACAAATATCACTCAATTCCTTACTTTCAACTTCTTGTGCTTCAAGGATGATACATGCAGTTTTGATTGGAGACATCTCAACCTTCATAATCTGATTATCCTGTATCTTGTGCAGATTTTGACTGTTCTTCTTCACTTGTAACCTCAATTGCACAAGGTTTTGGTTTTCACCAATAGGTTTTAGCTTTGGTGCAACTTCTTATGCATGCTCCATGCTATATCTTGATTGATGTGTTACTTCTTGCTTAATAATAGGCCTTAAACCATGTTTAAATCTAGCTAGTCTTTGGCGTATGTCTTCCACAACTTGATTTCGCGTGTCAAGTGCCTCGGGTCTTTGCATATATTCTTCAAACACAGTATAGCCATGTCAAGTGACCCTACAAGATTATTCGAAGGCACATACTTCCCCTGAAGCTTAACTTTCATCTCTTGCCATGTATTTATTGGTGGCAATTCCAATCTTCTTATATTTTCTCGATACCACCAAAGTTGTGCCAAACCTATAAGCTTCATCTTAGCAAATCTCGCGTTTCGATCACCCGTCCAATCATAGCAATCAAAATATTCCTCAATTGAAACAAGCCAATTAGAGAACACCATAGGATCATCCTTTCTTTCAAAATCCGGAACTTCTTTGTTACGGGGTATAACATATTGTGGCACATGGGATCTCCCACTTTGTACAAACAAAGGGCGAAATCTTAAGCTCTGATACCAAACTGATGCAACTTTGTACAAACAAAGGGCGAAATCTTAAGCTCTGATACCAAACTGATGCAAGACAAGTAGTGGATTTGCAAAATAGAGGCTATTTGACGGCCTAAACAATGTGTACTTTAGGATTTTAAGGGTTAAATTAAAGGTTATTAGGTAGGGGAAGGGAATAGGGTTGCTTTAGGGATGATTGGATGGGGTTTTGAGGTTGAAAAGTGCACTTTCAGAGAGCTGTGAATAGTAATCCGAGAATAGTAAATTACAACAAAAAAGAAGAAGATAGAAGAGAAGAAGATAGGCCTAGTCATCGCACCTAGATTCCATAGGCATCACACCTAAGGTTTGATTGTACCACACAATCCATAAAGAAGCTTCAAAGCTCTCAATTTATTTTCCAAAACATCAACTCTATTAGTTATAAGTATTACATGGCTTTATATAGGACTAGGAGACTTTCTAAACCAACTAGAATAAAAAAAGGAAACTACTAAAATATCTTTGATTTCTAAAATTAATTTAAAACCAAAAAAGAAACAAAAACAAAGACTAACTAAATAATTTGACCCACAAGACGACCTATGGGTGACCCATATGACCCATGTCAGCAGATATAAAATTACCAAAATACCCCTAACCTTAAAAATCATAGAAAACATAAAAATAATAATAAAATAAGACTAATAATACTAGAAACATAATTATAGAAGATTTCTATTAGTTTCTCTATGAAATCAAGCCAATATCCAAGTATCATCACTTCTCTGAATTTAGCATTCCTTGAACTTCTTATACTCTGCATCAACATTCTAATAAATATCCATTGGTGTAGAACCAGAAGACAAAACGGCACAAATACCACACTCTAGGGTTTCTGAAAATTCTTTCAATCAATATTCTTATCAACAGTAATCATTCCTTTACAAGTTGCGGCCCTTGTGTTTTCATTCTCTCTCCTATCTCTCTTCTTTCTCCCTCTTGGTGTTACACCACCCACGGGTATGTCCTAGCATGAAACTAACAAAAATTCTAACTGGCAATAATAACAACAACAACAATTACAATAATAGTAATAATCGTCCTCCAAAAATTTGTCGCCCCCTTTCGAAAACACCCAACTCCATTTGAGAGAGAAGAGCCGTGAAAGTTCTGGTGTTGACACTCAAATGTAGCTTCAACCTTTCATCATCAATTGACACATGCAAAGGGAGGCAAGAGCATAGGCTCCTCAAAGGTCATGAGCAGGGTAAAGGTCATCGATGTTGCAAATCATTTCGTTTCTAGAACTCAAGTCAAGAACCTTCTTAGTCTTTAGTTTTTCAGTGCTTGTAACTTCAAGATTTTAGCCACCTTATGCATAAATACTTCTGGTTGAGTTTGCACATATGCTTCATAGACATTGGTCCTAGCATCAACAGCTTACATGCGTATACAACTTCCATTCTTTTGGACCACAATATAAGATATGGATGCTGGAGCCAGTTTACAAGGGCACATTTTTTTTCTCCAGAGAGAATACAATATTACAAGCATGGATAACGATAGTCATAAATATTGGACAGAGTACACAATTTATTGTCATGGAGGAATTTCTAGATGATAAATATATATATATATATATATTAAAAAACAGTGTATGAATAACAGCCTACATATAACAATGCTCCAAAATTAGTAAGTACAATTTTTAACCACTGTTATGGCCTTAATGTTAAGTGCATGAGGAGATTTAGACATAACCATGTTAACAGAAGTTGAGTTTAATAAAGAAGTGGGAACACATGTCGTATTGTTGCTGACACATAAATTTCAATAAGATGACCAACTATGAGCATTAAGATCACAAATTGTCTCAAAAACTTAAGTTGTTAGGAGATGGATCCAACAATGTATATTGAGTTATCTAACACTCCCCCCTCATCTGGAACTTGACTCACACGTGTAGAGGCAGATTAACTGAACCAAACAGGTGCACAATCTCACACAGCACAGAGCGCACAATAACAGACATAATGGGGGAACACATATAACAGGACTTGAACTATGACAACCTGGAACCAGAGCTCCGATGTCATATTAAGATCATCAATTGTCCCAAAACCTTAAGCTGAAGCATATCAAGCCATCTAACAATGAGGACTCTACAAAAGGAGGTCCACATTAAACAAGCATGTCCAACTTTCAAACTACTAAGGTCCAAAAAAAAGATTCTATTCAATATTCTAATGGATCATCAACTGCATGGAAGCCCCATAATTTATCTGGATTTTGCGACCTCACATTCAGACTGTATGGTGTATGGGAGAAGCAGCCTTAGACAGAAGTGAAGATATTCAAATAGGCTCACAATATTGTAAAGCCAGCAAGATCCATGGCGTGAACATGTGGAAACTACAGCACAAATACATGTGATATGTGCAGGGATAACAATTCCATGAGTAGGCTCCAAATTAAAGATCATCTTCATTTAAAATGTAAAAAAGTTATGATCTAAAAGAGGCTCACTTCTAATAAAATCCAGTGCCCTTGATACAGCATGCTCTTCGTTATTTTGGACATGGAGTTGCTAAAGTAAATCATTCCAACTCCACTTCTAGTGAAGTAGCAAGGAAATCCAACTCTGCGGGCCTGAAGTGATTAATCAAGGGCTTAAATGCCCATTAATTGAATGAAATTTGCCATGATACTTCCTTATTTTTAACATGGAGATGCTAAGGTAAAGCAATCCAACCCCACATCAAGTAAAGTTGCATGGAAATCCAACTATACATGGCCAAAATGACGTGATCAAGGGCTTACAGGCCCATTATTAAACTAAGTTCATTTTATCTTCCATTAGTTGTCAGTTATTTCTTAATCTGAACTCGTTTTCCCTTTTCTTTGAAAGAAGTAATCAATTATATTGCGTTTGACAGTTTGAAAACTCAGTTCTAAAAAAACAATCAACTCCTCTAATCTAAGGATTGAGAGAGTTATAGGGTGATGATGAATTTTGAATAGAAAATAATCTTCTATTTGTGCTTTCCAATAGTTGTCTTAAATATGGGCAGGTCATTTACGAACAGGCTTCAAGGGTCCCACATCCTCTTCCAAATTATTTACTCCGTTTTCAATTATTGCAGGGAGTGGACCACGGGGGTGAGGGAGTATAATACATAGCCAGGAAATACTTTTAATCACTAAAGCTTTAAATTAGTAAAATGACATCTGCAGCTATGGAAAAGTACTCACTTGAAATCATATCCACTCCCTGGCTGCAGCACCTCTGGTGCCATCCTATAAACCAGAGAGAAATTAAAATCTCATACACACAAATAAGAAAAGATTTCTAAAGAGCTGGAGAGGTCGAAGAAGAAGAAGAAGAAGAAGAAGAAGACTTTCTCAATATAGCTTACCAGCAAGGAGTTCCTACAAAAGTATTTCTTGAGCGTTTTCTATCACCTCTGTCAAACATGCAAGCTGAAACACCAAAGTCAGCCACCTTTACCATCCCATTACTATCAAGAAGTATATTTCCAGCCTGCAACAACAAATGTTCAACAAACCAGATTGCAACCTAGCCAACCTAGGTGATTAAAAGAAAAAATGAAAAATAAAAAGAGAAAAAAAGGGGGAGGGAGGAACAGATCTAATCACTGCAATAATGTGTATCTTTAGATTTTACAAACCTTAACATCGCGATGAATATGTCCATGTTGATGTAGGTACTCCAAAGCCTTGAGAGTTTCTTTGAGGATAGAACCAATGGCAGACTCTTCAAATCCATCTGAATATGCAATCTTCATGAGGTGTAGACAAGAACCCTCAGCCATGAATGGCATAACCACCCAAAGGTTTTGGTCAACAACAAATGAGCAATATGCACTAATTACATTGGGATGATCTATCAAACTCATTGTTTGTGCCTCCCTACGAATGTCATCCTGCAAAAAAGCACAGGGTTATGCATAAAAAACTAAAGAGAACCCATAATTCACTGGACTCATCACAAACGACCCATGACCAGTGTTACTGTATAGGTCATTTCTGCAAGACCTGAACTATTGACCATTTACACGCTACATTTACAAAGTCTGGCCTTCACAAACACAAAAGCATTTAACTAGCCTAATAATGAAGGAGGCAACAAGTAAAAACAATGAATAACGATGTTTTAAAACAAGAAAAATGCGAGACAGCATAGAATAATTATCAGAATCCAAGCAATTGAAATGTGTGGAACACAAGAATAATATGAATGCAGTGTACAATTGCAGATAAACTGCAGAATATCTGCAGAAGAATTGAGAATTCAGATCAGAAGAAAAACATGTTGATTATATAATTCATTTACAACATGAGGGGGAAAATGGATTCATCTATTAGTGTTATGGTTATTTAGAAAGGAACAACCCCCAAAATGCATTGAAGTGATTGTCTACCCAGTCATTATTGCTCACAAGGCATCTTCTTCACAGAATTGAGGGTACAATCAGGAAGAAGTCCATGGTCAAAAAGTTGCTGATTTTGAAAGTCTCCATCATGAAATCACTACATAAATGGAATTCTCCATAAAGTAGAAATAGTCCAAAGACATAGTGGTAGTGATGCAGGACAACCCTATGAACAAGTAAATCTAGAATTCTATAAGTTTTATGGTGGTTTAAAGTTAAAAATCAGTTGAATTTTTAGAGTTTCAATTAATGTATGGAATGAACTAGGTTTTGGATTGATAAAAATGGGGGAAAGCATATCAAAAAAGGGCTGTTTAGGAGCTGTGAACAGTAGCTCATGAACAGTAAACTGAAAAGAAAAGAAAGAAGAGAGGAAAAGAAATTGGAAGAAGCATAATTGCTGTATTAATTCTCTCAAAACTATTCTCTATTAAATTAGAAGCAATGCATGATTTTCTATAAACTTTAGAGACTTCCTCTTCCAACTAGGACTATGATTCCAAAATAAATAGGCAACTACTAAACTTTTGACTTCTAGCACCTATCCAAGACCATATAAAACCCAAAATAAAAATTAAATATATAACTTGACCCATATGAGGGTCACCTCTACAAACCATGCCCAGCAAACCTAAAACTTACGAAAATACCCCTAACCTTAAAAACTTAAAGAAATTCATTTCAAATTAACCAGTAACATATTTAACAAAAAAAAAAAAAACACAAATAGGACTCTAATAACACTACTAGCTTGAAACCATGCCACTTCTTTAACTTTGCTTCTTCTTTTTTTTTTTTGGCCCTTCTTATGGATTGCATCATTCTCCCCTAGTTAGAAAAAACTTGACCACAAGTTTTAAAGTGTTAAAGTATAGGAATCCATGAACTCTGCAATTGCATCCATGATTTCATATCAAAATCTTCAAGTTGATGTTGTTCTTTCTTATTTAGTGGAGGTAGCAATGAAAGCAAATGAATGTTTTCCTATTCCAAAGGAAATTTTTTTTGGAATGACAAAATCAATTGAATAGAAAATGAATCCTTTAATTGGAAGGGTTGCAAAATTCAGCCCATTCATTCCATTATCATTGGCCTTGCAATGCCCTGCTCATACTTGATTTGAATAGTCCAATTTGTATCAGCAGTTATGGATCCCAAACTCTAAATCTTTTCTTCAACCAAAATGTCAATAAACAATTCAACCTTGTAATCCTCTAGAATAAAATCAACACCTAGTAGCAATATTTTTGGCATATTATACTTGCTCACAGGTGTATTATATGTCGGAGGTTATGACAATTGTGACTCTGGCATAGAGTTGATATCATACTGGACATTATTCATAGGTAGAGACTCAATAGATGATTTTATCAGAAAATTCAAGCAACACATTGGTGAACTTTAAAGAATATTTTGCTCAAAATCAGCCTCTGGTTGCTTTAATTCTTCAGTCTCTACAGCGTGTATTGCATCCAAATCCTTAATTTGACCTCTAGCCTCTTCTTGAGCAATTTGGGAATCCACTTGTAGGTCTTTTTCCTCATGAATGTAGCCCTTTTATCCTTAATAATCTGGTTTTCTTTCGTTTTGGGTAGGATTTGATTGTTTTCTTTCACTTGTGACTTCAATTGTGCAAGGTTATGATCACTGACAACAGACTTTGGTTTCGATGCTACTTATCTCCCACAATTTTGATGCTGCAATTCTCCCCTCGTGGTGAGCTTAAAATCAGCTTTAAGTCTAGTGCATGGTAACATTATTCCACATATTGTCTTTGAGTTTTAAGTGCCCCATATCTTTATGTATAATCCTCAAAAAAACTATTTCCATATTTTGAATTTACAAGTTGTCCACATGACTTTACATGATTAATTTGAAGGAATATACTTTTCTTGAAGCCTAGCTTTCAACTTTTGCCGTGTGTTTATTGGAGGCAATTTCAATCTTCTTATATCTTTCTTCAACACAATACCACCAAAGTTGTGACAAACCTACAAGTTTCAACTTAGCAAATCTTGTTTTCCGATCATCTATCCAATCATAGCAATCAAAAAATTCCTCAATTAAAGCAAGCCAATTGGAGACACCATGGGACAATCATGTCCTTCAAAATCTGAAACTTCTATCTCGCAACATGTGATATATTGTGACTTATAGGATCTCCACTTTGTAGAGACGTAGTGGCGAAACTTAAGCTCTGATACTAAAAATGATGCAGGATAGTACTGTGAATAATTAAATCTAGAATTCTAGAGTTTTTTTTGTGGTTAAAGCCAAAAATTTGTAGGAATTTTAGGATTTGAATTAACGTATGGAATGAACTAGGTTTAGGATTGATAAAAATGAGAAAAAGGAGATCAAAACACGGCTGTGAATAGTAGCTCGTGAATAGTAAACTGAAAAGAAAAGAAAGAAAAAGAAAAAGCCTAGGCATTGCACCTAGATTCCATAAGCCTCAGACCTATGTTTGATTACATCACACAATCTCCAAAGAACCATAATTGTTGTATTAATTCTCTCAACACTATTTACGATTGAATTAGAAGCATTACTTGACTTCATCTAAACTTTAGAGATTTTTTTTACCAAATAGGACTATGATTCTAAAATAGGTAATTACTAAACTTTTGACTTCTAAAACCTATGTAAGACCAAATAAAACCTATAAATAAAAATAAAATACATAACTTGACCCATATGACAACCCACGGGAGACCCTTAAAACCCATATCTAACAAATCCAAAGTTATCAAAATACCCTTAACCTTAAATATTAAAGAAATGCATTTAAAACTTCCCAGTAAATTTAACCCAAAACAAACACAAACATTTTTTTAAAATTTTTTTTTGCTACCTGGTTATGCCAGCTGAGTCAACCAGCAATTGACTAGTTTGACCTGTGAAAGTTTGAAACATCCATCGAAATGTGTCATTGGCTAGTCGGAATCCAAGACTATGATCTTAATGTGTCAATGGCTGTCCTAATTCCAACAATTATGATCTTAGATCCAAGCTGGTCACTTAGGCTGAGTGACCAGCTAGAACTCAAACGAAAGCCAACAAAGATATGAGAAGAAAGAAGTGTGCAAAGACCAATTTTTGTGTGTGTATGTTTGAATCTCTCTCCTTCAATTACAAAAACCACGGGTTAGTTAATGTAGTTTAGAGTTCTCTAATTTGCATCAACATAATTCATATCTATAAACCTAATATTGCATCACTAGTCCATTGAATGGGAACAGATTAGAGGTCTCATAATAGCAAAATGTTGGTACAATAATGATAGAGAAGTATCATATACACTGAAAATGGGTGAAAAGTATAGTAAACAATTGTGTTATACATATTGTACTTGTGACAATCAATGGTGATGTGGGCAGACATAGACCTTTAAAAAATCATGGAAGGCACTGACATGGCACAGGACCACCGAAGGCGAAGTGCGAGAGAACTAAGGTAGCCTTAGAGTGAAGAGAAAGAATGGAAATGAAGATGAGCCTATAATATGTGGAAGAGCTACATTTTGTATGGAAGGGCCCTTCTTTTATAAGAGTTTTGGGTCATGGAGGCCAGCTTACCCTCATTATTGTATCAATGAGCTGTAGTGAGTAGGTATCATACACACTTCGAGGAGCTACAGTAGCTATGTGTGATACACCGTACGAGGTGTTACATGCCTTGGTTAAAGTATAATATTGTAGATGTCTCTCTCATATAAGACTAGTTGAAGTAGAGCAAGCTTGAGGGGATGATTCGGGCAACTTTGATAATTGCTTAGATGTAGTTGCCAACCTAGAAGTCCTTGGTAATCTCACATGGGGTTGTTAGACCATCACTAGTCTCAAAAACTTAGGCTCTCCAGCACCCTTTTTCAAGTGTAACCCTATCTTGCATGTGAAGATGCAATCATCCAAACATAGAGAGAAATAGAATGCAATGGAAAAGAAAAATGCAAACAAAAAGACTTGAACTTAAGACCTCCCCCAACCTAAGCTTTGTTGTCATGTTAGCTCATGACTAATTCTAAAAGTCTAAGCTATTAGGAAATGGACCCAACTATATTTATTAAGCTCTCCAACAAAGGTCATAGATTGCTGGGGCATCTTATGACTTAGGCAACCCAAGTGGATTACAGGCCCTGCTCTAAACCTAGGTAGGGGTGATAGTGCCATGGTGCAAGGTCGAAGTCAAGCAGGGCCTTGGCAAGTCCAGGCAAGGCAAAATGGTTGTTTAGTGGTCGGTGTACATAGAACCTAAGCAAGACTTGGGGCAAGACAAGGCAAGGTGGACGAGCCGTATAGCAAATGAGGTGAGGCAAGCATTGAGGCCATGCAAGGTGCCTTGTCCAAGTGAGGTGCCTAGGCGAGGAGAGGCCATGACATGAGGCAAGGTTCATGCCTTTGTGATGTGGATACAACCTGTTAAGTTTTTGTAATTAGCAATCTTGTTGGATAAAACTCCATTTAGTTGTATTTTTATTCACTCTATTGTATCTATGAATTATGAGAGTTTAGATGCGAATCCAACCTGAGTTATGCCTGAGTAGAGGAGTTTGTGTTGACATTCTGTACCTTGTTTTGAGCATTCCTTGTTTACCACTTCGCTGACTAAGTACGGGCCCGGGACAGTGCCCAGGTAGGGTCGAAGCGCAGCACCCCGAAGCCAAGAAGAAGTCAAACTAGTTTAACCACTTGAGCGGTCTTTTGTGCGCTCAGGCAGTAAAGTGGTTCATCCGGTATCATTGTCAGCGTTCTGAACTTCTAGAAGATAAGTTTTACCGCTTGAGCGGTGGATGTTGTGCTCGAGCAGTTGGCCTATATTGCCTTTAGTTACACAGCTCGAGCGGTCTTCATGGCTCAATTTAGTATAAAGTGCGCTATTTGCTATTTTTAGGGTAGAACCTGTTCAGATTCTTAGAGATGAAGAGAAAACAAAGTGTTTTATATTAGAGAGTGTTTATATATTGTTTTCCTTGATGATTTGAGGGTGATCGATTGATCAACGAGCTTCACATTGACTATCATCAAGGGTTGTTTTGTTCTTTCATTCACAAAAAAAAAGAGGTGTTTATCGGTGAATTCTGGAAAACTTGGGCCTAAAGCTTTGGTAGATTTCGGAATGGCTCATTGTCGTAGATTCGATATCGGCATTGTAGATTTAACGTTGGGCAAAGCAATTTCGTAGTAAAGAAAATGGTGGAGGAGGCGCATCAGGTTTGGTTCAATTCGGGCGTGGATTCGCTAGGTAATTGAGGGTTCTCGTGTGTAGTTCTTTTTTTGTCTTCTTAGTGGATTGTTTTATAACTTTGGCCCGTGATTTTTTATCACAATTGGAGGAGTCCAATAGTTATTTTTTTCATATTAAATTGTTGTGTCGATTTGTTGTTGATTGTTTGATTGGAATTATTATTTATTGTTTAAAACTGAATCATAATCACAAATCAATATCTCAGGGATTTTTAGAATTTTCACAACCCTTTCTAGATGATAAAGTGGCAGTACATGTGGGTTCAGATACCTACACTACTTAACTTGGGTTTCTCCTTGGGCATTTTCAGGTTATAAAACATTCTTCCATTCTGCGCATGCAATAACACAACATTTTGACAAATTAAAAGCTTTTAAAATCAAATATGGGTGATAAAAGTTCGATGGCGCATTCGATCAGTGGATTTTACTAGTTGAACAATAAGAACATATCATCTTAGTGACAGCAATGAACCTACATAGATAGCTTTTCGTAATACTACTGCTTCCAAGTTCCATACCCAATGAGTGGCCTTTTGCCATCACATTGATTTATATTGCACTTGGAAACACATTCAGTGTTCTCACAATCTCAACTCCAAATGACAAAAGGTTAATGATTTGACCCAAAAATCTACTCTGCTACCAAATGCTCGTTACTAACTAACTCAATGCCACCTTAAAGTTAACACAAAGAGTTCAGCAAATTCAACAATCCAACGCAGCAATTAAAGCTACACGAACTCAGAATCTACTAGAACAATAAAAAATGAGAGATTTTATCAAATTCGGGATCTCAATTCTCACTTTGTTTAGTCTTCCTCGATCAAAACAATCAAATGAAAACCACAACACAAGATCACAAACTCAAAAACTGAAATCCAACCACTGTTCCCAATCCAATCTCAATCAAAAAACCTCATCTCAGAATCTCACTAATTCAACTTGCATAAATTCAATCCAATCCAATTCAATTCAACAAAATGAGTGAAGAAGATAAGAAGACGAACCAGATTGCTGTTGCAGCGATCGAGATCCAAACACTTGACGGCTACAACTTGATTGAAAGGAATATAGATCGCTCTATGCACGGTCGCACTCGCACCATGACCGACCTCTTCCAGAAGCTTGTAATCCTTCGGATTCACCGAGTAACTCTTCCCAACACTTCCCATACCTGGAGAATCGCTCTGAAAACCACCGAACGATGATCGGAAAACAACTTCGGAAAGCCGTCACAAACCGCTATGTAGCATGGACTGCCATGGACTGCCTGTGTCGTATTGGCATTTTCTTTTTTCTTTTTTTCTTTTTCATCCGATTACTTTAGCTACTTTAAGATACTTTTGATTTTTTTTAATTTTTTTTAAAAAGAAAATTGATGATAAATCTAATATAAATAAGGCATAAAGCATTAGGTTCTGCAAATATATATATATATTTTTGTTAGTAAGAGGTCCATTTGTGAGATAGTTTGGTGATAAGTCTTTTATTTGTTTTGAAAGATATTTTATTTATAATTTTACTCATTAATTTATTTGTTGATTTTTTTTTATCTGATGACTTTCTTTTGACTATTTGTTCAAATTTGTATTTATCTATTCAAAGTTTTTAGACTATTTGTTCAAATTTATATTTATTTGTTGAATTTTTTTGCCTTATATGTTAATTTTTTCCCTATTTGTTCAAATTTTGTGGGTTTCTCTCTCTATCTGTTCAAATTTTGTGGGTTTCTCTCTCTAATTTTCCCTATCTGTTGAAATTCTTGTGCTAATTTTTCTTATCTATTGGAGATGAACATCAAGTGCCATTTCATTAAGTTTTTGCTAGATTTTGGTTTTACAACGATTAGCATAATCTGTTTTATACATTTCTAAATATTCTTTTTTCATTTGGCTAGGCCGCGATTTCGTGGGGATTTCGTGCTCATCAAAGTCTGGTTATATACGGGAGAGAAATAATATGTTTCTTGCGTTCCCAAAAAGCATTTGGAACATTACTGCAAATTTCGGTTTGAAATTCTTTTTCAAGTATTTTGATTTTATTCTGTAAAGAGGATTATTGTAACATTTGTTCTGTTGTAAGAAAATGAATTTTGTTTGAAGAAAATTAATTTGTTTCTCTTTAAAGTTGACTAGATCTTCAATTTGATCTAATTCCTTAGTATAAGGTTATGTAATAAATTCCCAAATAAGAGGTTGATTACTGATGGTTGTGTGAATACCTATGGGGTTTATTTTTGTGATGAGCATAAGTAAACACAAAAATGGTGTTCCTAGAATAATAGTTTAGGACATGTTTCAAATGAGGGCAAATGATGTTAGAAGACAAATGCCCTGGTTACAGATTAAAACTTCTGGAAGTTTATACCTAATTTGCATCGAATTACCACTTGCACTGGTTAAAAATTGAGTGGTTTTCTAGAAATATTTGGTAAAAACCAAACCTTCTTGTATACAATTCATGTCACTGCCACTATCAACTAAGGCTATTGTATCTTTTATCATAAAATATGATTTTATAATAAACGTAATTCTGATATACCATTTTTGGAAAGTAACTTGATTCATAATCATCAAGTATTGATTATCAGTTTGTTCTTTACTGGATTTTTTTTCTGTTGCAAGACCTTTATCTTTGGTTGAGTATTTCTGTTGAAGCTGAGTATTAATTTTCTTGATATCAGCTATGATGGAAAGATTTCCTGTTTGGAGATGTTTAATCTCTGTTTTTAAAACATTAATTTCCATTTTTAAGTCCTGGATATTTACTGGTTTTTCAATGGTTGAAAAGTTCTGAAGACGTTTTAATACTTCTTTCATACTATAATGTTCTACAGTGAGAACTTTCTTTATTTTTTTTGATTTTGATAACACATTTCTAAAAATTTTAACTTCATTTATGGATCTTTTATCTGATCGGCCATGCTTAACATGGTCTACTGGTCATCTGTTAGGACGTTAAGACTAGGTCCTTCTATGTCTAATCTGTTCATTTCAACTATTGCTTTCCAATAGTTGGTTTCGGTTAAAGGATTTATTTTGGATGTTTTATAGGAACAAAGGTCTGGAGAGTTGGATTCTTGTTCTGACTCAGAGGGAGAGTAAAGTTCAGCTAATCCGTCGTCTGAACTTGTTTCTGTTTCGTTTTCAAAAAGAGCTTGAAGAATCTGCTGTTAGAGATGAACATCAAGTACCATTTCATTAATTTTTTGCTGGATTTTGGTTCTACAGCGATTAGCATAATGACCTATTTGTCCACATTTATAACAAGTTATTGTGGGTTTATCATTCTTTTTATACGAGGATTTTTTCTGTTTGCCTTTATATGTTTTTTGAGGTTGATTTGTCTGGTAACTTTGTTTTGGAGTTTTATATTTTCTAGATTGTTTGGAATAGTGTTTTTGAGCTTTTCCAAATTTTGGTTTCCTATGTTTGGAAGGATACTGGATTTTTGTTTTATAAGCAAACTGATCACAAAATTCACCTAATTCTTTCTTTCTTGTTAAATTTTGTCGTTTTATTTGATACTGGAGTTTAAGTTCCTTGCATAATGCAAGACCCTTTTCGGTAATAATTCTTATGAGTTAACCATAGGTATAATCTCCATAGGGTATAGACATCCTATTGGGTCTATCCCTAAGTTTTTTTTTCTGATTCTTTCAGCAAAAAGGTTAGAAAGCCCATTAATAAATTTGGCTTTTCAATGTTCGCTATTAGTGTCTGATCTCTTCATGATTTTTATTAGGAAAACATCTTTATACCATCTAAAATGGGTTAAAGATGGGCATCTAAGATTCTGTAAAAGCTCGTGACTTCTATCATTGGTGGCTACATCAGATCCTATAAAATGATGTATAATAGTATGGACAAGAGTATAAACAACATCTTCCCTATGAGTAGCTGTCCCTGTTATGGGATCTGTATCAATTTTAAAAGAATTTAAAATTTTATTCTGTTGGATGTGTGTAAGAATATTATCCCACCATCCTTTGAGGACACTTGTAAAGCCATTTACGATAAATCTGGCAGTTTGCTGCTCTGTGTTATCATTCTGTTTACACACAGTTGCATACATCAAAAGTTAATGTATGAATTCAAAGAGCTGGTAGTCGATATAACCATCTATATTCCATTCATAAATGGTTTTTCCATGATAGGTGTGATACCCCTGTTCCGTAATATGCTAAATTGGTCCTTAATTTGAATGTGATTATGTGTTTAGCATGATTTTATGTGCCATTATGTGAATATATGTGATTTTGCAATTCTATCTGTTCACCGTAGGAATATCTGTTTGAATAATCCGCTTTGAAAATTAAATTGAGGGCCTTATCGGCTACAAAACCCGAAATCGATTACGCCTTTGTGATTAGCGTAATTTTTAGAGTCTACGGTAAAATTTAATTGAAAAATTGATTCAGGCCAGATTAAGTCGATTTAATTGGTGAATTAGTGCCCAAATATTTTATATTGAAATATTATGTTAGTGGGCCTTGTTGTATGATAGCATTACACTCCCCTCTAGCCCTTATGAACTCAAAATCTGAGTTAGACTACTGAGAGGAAGAGAGAGCCGGCTGTAGAGAGGAGGAGAGAAGAGAATTGAGCAAACTTAGCTCAAAGCTTGGGAGCCTTGAAGATTATTCAAGTTTTGACCATAGATTGGGAGAATCAAGTCTCTAGGTAAGTGAATTCATGGATATTAAGTTGTAATTTTGTGAATTCAAGTTGAAATAATGGTCAAGAACATGATTTAGTTTGATTATGAGGAAATTGAAGTGGTTTGGTTGAATTAAAGGCCATTATGTGCATGCATGTAAGAAAGTACCTTGAATTTGCATGTTTTGTATAATCCATGTATAATTTTAATTGAAGCTCATGTTATAATCATCATTTGTGCCATCTAAGTTGAGGATGTGGCTAATTCATCACATGCATGTACAATCTGAGAAGACATGAGCTTGAATGCATGAGTTTGTTGTGTTGGTGTTGAGTTTGACATGTTGTGAGACATGCATGAAGATAAATCAAGAAATTGAGCTCCATAATGTTATAATCTTGCATTGGTACCATGTTAGTATGATTATATTTGAGATTTGAGCCATTGCATGCAAGTATTGAGGCTGAGATTTCGAATTGGAGCTCAAGAACTCAATCTGGAATTTCCAGATTTTGATGTCCGCTCGAGCAGGGGAACTGCCGCTCGAGCAGGAAATACGTGCTCCCAGTATATTTTCTGTAGCCCTTGATGTCCGCTCGAGCGGGGAAGTCCACGCTCGAGTGGGGAGCTACGTAGGATGGACTTCCGCTCGAGCGTCCTAGGTCATGCTCGAGTGTAAAAATGAGACATCCAGAACTTTTTGCACGCATGGCTTCCGCTCGAGCGGGTAAGTTCGCGCTCGAGCGGGGAGCCATGTAAAGAGGCCTTCCGCTCGAACGCCAGATATAACGCTCGAGCGTAAATTTCCTATACCCAGTACTTTTGCAGGCCCCAGGGGTCCGCTCGAGCGGGGACCCTATTTTCTGAGATTCTGTTTTTGTATTCTGAGTTCTGTTTTCCGTTCTCTTTCACTTGTAAGCATTCTTAGGCATATGTTAAGCATTGTAAATGAATTAATGAGATATGAATAAAGCCTAATGAGGAACATGTGAAGCAAAGAACGGATTGAACTGTTAATGACCTTTTGTGTTCATGAAATGTGTAGGGTCAAGCTCCAGGACAAATCTATAAGCCGATCACTGTGAGTAATATCAATATTTGAAAGCTTGTGAATGTTCAATTGTTATTCCCTTATAAGCCTTATGAATTTGCTAATTGGGATCGTGGACAAAAGTCTGATACAAATAAATGAATGGGCCGAAGGCCGTTTTGACAAGAATGAATGGGTCGAAGGCCGTTTTGATATAAATGAATGGGCCGAAGGCCGTTTTGACAAGAATGAATAGGCCGAAGGCCGTTTTGATATAAATGAATGGGCCGAAGGATGTTTTGACAAGAATGAATGGGCCAAAGGTCGTTTTGACAAGAATGAATGGGTCGAAGGCCGTTTTGATACAAATGAATGGGCCGAAGGCCGTTTTGACAAGAATGAATGGGCCAAAGGCCGTTTTGATATAAATGAATGGGCCGAAGGCCGTTTTGACAAGAATGAATAGGCCGAAGGCCGTTTTGATATAAATGTACATATGTAAAGTAGGAATATGAATTGGGCCCAAAGCCGTTTGGAGTATGTTGTTCTACATATTGTTTATATGACTTCTGTATTTGATATTATTCACTGGGCTATCGCTCACACTCATTCATGTGTTTGTAGGTGAGCCAAGGGA